AGGGAAGGATGAATGAAAGAGAACAAAAGCAACAAATAAACACAGGGTTAAGGGTGCACACAAACAAATAAACAATGCATCTGAGTATGCAATACAAAAGAAAGGATTAAAGAAAAGATGTAAGAATGATGCTGTACCTCATTAGAAATGTACACACTGGCCCTGACTTTTTCAAAGTAACAATATGATTTTCCTGTCACATTTGACAAGTAGATTTGATGAAAACTGCCCAATACCAGAACAGAGTTCGAATGGACCAGGCTCCATCTACACAGCTGTATTTCCTGGACTGGCAGATGCTGAAACCCTCAAACAGGTCCCAGCTTGCTGCAGGCAGGTTGTGGAAGCAGATTCTCCTGAGAAGAAGCTGGATCTTACTGTGGAGTGCTGGATCTTTCTGTCAGATGCTTAAAATTGGCTACAGATGGGATTTAACCCTGTAACATAAAATGTTTAAAGGCTAGATGTCCAGGCAAAACAGGCATAAAGAGAAAAATGGCACTCTTGAGGGACCTGTGTCTCTCCATTGACTAAAGGGATTCATAAATTGATAGATGACACTAAACTTGGTGGTGGTTAACAATAGGGGAGATAAATCCTGCTCTTAAAGATTGAAGCCTTGTTTGCAAGAGGAAATGACATATTTCACCTCTCTAACAAAACAGGAGTGAGCAGTTCAGTGTTATGAAAGGATGAGTGCCAATTACAGTTAGATACTCTCAAAAATCCCCTACTCTCTCCCTCATTCCTCTGGTTAGTGTGTATAATTACCTGTGAGTTATCCAGATTTATTTTCTGGGTTCCAAGAAAAACAGTTAAAGGTTGAAAGAAGAAATAGGAGGATGGAAGGAAGAATATAATTTAAAAACTTCTAGTAGTTGGATATGCAAATGTGAGAAGGCAAAATAGCAAACCAAAGGGCTTAAGTCTCATACTAAGTTTATCCTCATTCACCCTTCACCATGCATAGGAGGCTTTGCAACCAGTATGATGCATTTTTGGAGTTTTGGATTCACTACATAGGCAGTAAAGAGGGATCCTCTTCACAGCACCAAGCTCAACTGTACACTTCTGAATTCTTCTACCTGACTCTAAGAACACGCAGTGGTTGACTTGTTTGCCGTATAGCTTAGCTCAAATAGCCATGGAAGCCAAGAGAAGTTTGCTGAGTATTGACTTATGGCTGGACTTAGAGATGAGTCTGGAATTTATAACCTGGGCAGCTCTACCCAGTATCCAAATGCACAATGGAGCTGGAGACTTTTGCAGATGTTTTAAAAGCTGCTTCATTGTTTATTTATGCACTTGGGTTAATTCAACCTGCAATTGAAACAATGCTTACATTACACATTTCTAACACAAGTTTTCACATCGAGTGGAAGCTAAACTAACACAGCAAATGACATCAATAATTGAAATTGCCCTGGGGAGGGATAGAACGGTCCAGAAAGGCTCCAAGGCCACGTCTGGGATGTGAAGGAGCAGAATTGACTCACCCTGCACACAGGTTCATTCAATGCAGGTGGTCAGTGCCTACCAATAGCCATTCTAACCAGGCATTGGAGCTTGTCATGACCAAGAATGCCAAGGAACTGAAGGGTCAATTGGGCCACAGAAATGTGATTGGAGCTGGGCAAACTATACAAAGACTGTGTAAAGGCTATCCTGATTGCCATGTGCTCTCCAGGGAATACCATGTCTCCTAATACTGGCTTGTTAAGCATGGGGACTGCAAGACCAACCTGTCCCAATCTGTGCAGTGTTCCTGAGCTAACTTGACGGGAGCTGTTCCTTAGTCACACCAGTGGAACAAGGAACCAGACGAGGTCTTAGCCAGTCCTAAAATGCTAGAATGTCTTTGAGTTGCCTCATGCTCACATGCAAACAGCTCAGAAGTTGTGACCAGCCCATCAGCACTGGAAAAAGCCATCACACTCTCACACCCTGCCAGCCCTCTTCATCCTCATGCACAGACAGGAAAAATATCCAGGATGATAATCCTGTGTGAGATTTTGTTCCAGCAACACCTTGTTTCCATGCATGCCACACTGTTGTGTGTGCAGCTACTGACCAGACAGCTTTCATAAGAGCTGACAAAATTTTGCTTGCAAAACCCCCCAGCCACTGCTATCTAGAAGCTCAAAATTGATACACAAGCAAACAGCACAGCTGCAACTAGCTGAATTATTTGGCAATCTTTCTTTCTTTTCTGTTGCAGAACATTTTGTGTATATTTTATGTCTGCTTTTACATTTGTCTTTAAGGAATATGAGTCAGCAATTTATCAGTTGTTTGAAGCAATCAGGTACAGCTCTGAACTCCAAATTTAGATTCAGCTGCTTAAAGATATGTACAACCTTAACAGCTCACTTCCCACTTCTGAGCTTTGCTTCCTCCATCTGTAAGTAGGACAGTAGGGACACTCCTTCATAATGTGGTTGGAGCGCTACATTGAGAGGTACAGTGGAAACAGAGAGTAATGACAGAGTATGGCCACATGCTTTAATAGCTCTCCTGCAACATTCAGAGACAATACAAGCAACTATATCACAGCAGTTCCTGGACATTGAGACTGGGAGACTGACATCAAGCTTTGTAATACAGACTGTTACCAGGTGCTGCTGACACAGCCTATAGTTGCGCATGAACTGGAAGAACGTGGTCATTTGCAGGAATTGAATGTAGGACTACAAAGAAATGCTTGCCTATTGCTACTGCAGAGGCTGTCTGTGCAGAAGCAGGCTTTGGACTTCAGCAGTATATCTGTCAGGGGAAGCAGCCCACACAATGCTGGAGAAAAAGAGGCAATTACTTTTAATTGTAGCTCTCGGCATGAGGAAACTGGAGACAATACGTGTTTCATTGCTGTTCTAATCAATACCCATGCAGCATATTAAAAATAGGGCTGGATCAAAGGTCAGGAATGGGCAGCAACAGGCAGCAGCAGTTGCATCAGGAATGGAGTTTTAAATTTGGGCCCAGATTTGCATGCTGAACTGGCATACTCTCCACCTGCAGTACTGCATTCAGCTCCGGAGTCCTCAGCATAAGGGAATGGACCTGCTGGAGTGATTCCAGAGAAGGCCATGACGATGGACAGAGGACTGGAGCACCTCTCGTATTAAGACAGGCTGAGAGCTGGAGTTATTTAGTCTGGAAAAGGGAAGGTGCCAGGGAGATGTCATTGTGATATCCTAGTATTTAAAGTGGTCCTACAGGAAAGATGGAGAGGGACTCTTTACCAGGGATTGTAGTGATAGGACAAAAGGTAATGGCTTTAAAGAAAGAGGTTAGCTTGATATTAGATATTAGAAAGAAATTATTTACCATGAGTGTAGTGAGGCACTGGAACAGCTTGGGCAGAGAAGCTGTGCATGCACCATCCCTGGAGGTGTTCAAGACCCGTCTGGATGGGGCCTGGGCAGACTGATCTACTAGATAGCAGCCTTGTATCCATGAGGGGAGTTGGAACTTGATGAACCTTAATGTGCATTCAATTCAAATTATTCTATGATTCTATGATGATTCAATTATTTTTTTCCAGGAGTAGGAATGGTGTGTGTGTTGGATTTAGGTTTTCTCTTTGGCTTGCTTCAAGATAAGCCACTGTGAAACGAGTTATCATTTTGGAGACTGGGAAAATATTACAATGGATGCAATACAAAAGACCGTGCCTTACAGAAAGGCAGCTCTCACTAAGAACTGTGCTATTGCCTAATGAAAGAAAGACCCGGTTGAGTGCTGATCATCTCTGGAAACAGGTCTTTGAACAAGCTTGTTGCGCCACGACTACACATGTCACATTACCATGCATGGCAGCACTTGCATTTACACTCTGGTGAAAACTCCCCCTCTGTCTTCACTGCATTGACTCTCAGGGTGGCAGAAGCATGATGCCACTACTTTATACCACGCAGAGCTGTGCTTTCTCCTTCTTCCTCATCTGTATGGCAAGAAGTAGATCACGGCCACACAGGAAATTAAGGTCCATCTCAGTTCCCCAAGATCATCTTTGCAGAGAGCCTGTCATCTTGGACAACGTTCAGAAAAACGGGTAATATGCTTTTCTGCCAAACATTTCTACTCTGCTCCTGTGATGCTCACAGTAGGGGGATAACAAGTTAGTAATATTTAGCAACATGAAAGGCGAGGCAATAGGCAGACACTGAGGTAGCATACATAGGTCTTAGGTGTTCCAAGGATTTTGTAGCCCAAATTGCAAGGCTTGAAAAAGAAGAGAGATGTACGCTGAGAGATGCCTCCTTGTGTGAACAGGAGGAAACCACAGTGAGTGAACTGAAGGGAGCAATCCAGTGAAAGCAGCTACTGAAAAGAAGAGGGTAGGAAACTCAAGATCTTGTCTTGAAAAGACAGCTCGGTCCACCAGAGTTTTTGGAGCGAGGATATTCCTCAATGCTCTGTGACTACAGAGTAAACTAATTAGTAGCAGGTTTCTACGTGTAGGCTTCTTCATTACCACCCACAGGACCAGATGCCCTCTTATTTTCCTATCAAGCAGCTGGAATACTTGAAAAGCCCACCCATTACAGACCTGGACAACAAAAGAGCCATGTGCATAGACAGCATTTGCTGTTTCCTGCTGGTTTCACAGCAAGGAGCAAATGCTTTTTCTCCTCTGCTTCTCTCAGCACTTCCTAGAAAGCATCAGGAGCGCTTTGTTTAGATGGGGTGAGACATGAGTCACAGAGTTCTTTAGACACAAAATCTCCTGGAGTCACTAGTCTTACCCCCTGTGGTGCTGAATTCCAGCTGGATGATGGCAGGCCCTTTGGGAAGGAGAAATTGAAATGATACAGAGAGGCAAACACATTGCTGGGAAATGCAATGAGAGGCACCAAAATGGAAGTGGAAATGGTGGTGAAGTTCCCACAGAAATAGAGGGGCACGGAGGACAGGTTGCTTGCTGGTGCAAGCAGGGCAGAGTGGGCTGGTAACTCCGTAAAAGGGCAGGAAGGAGAGGGAGAGTTCTCCATACTTACTCCAGGACATCCCTGTTGAACTGTTTTTTGCTGTTGCCCAGGAACTCCCCAATCATCTGGCGGCTGAGGCCCTTCCGCTGGAGCAGGAAGTGTGCCACCCCAATAGGAGTGTCTGGGATGAAGCCCCGGGAGATCAGGAACTGGATCCCTTTGTCTGGGTTTCTGAAAAGGAAGGACAAAAATATGCTGAGTTGGCATGAACTCTTTGGGACATCAATACCCCTGGCTCATCATCTGTTGTGCCAGTAACGCTGCCCTCAGTAGGCACATGGGCTCCTATGAGTTCATGTATGTGACAGGGATGGGACTGGTGCAAGCAGGGAATAGACTTGGGAGAGTTCTCCCGAGCTGTTGATGAGTGCATACAGATGTCATGGGAGCCACTGTGTCACCTGCAGCCCGTGCTGTTGTCTGGAGGAGATGTAAGTGCCTCTTGCCACAAAGGATCTTGCTGCTCACCAGTGACTCTCTCCTGCCATCCCTCTCCTTCAGGATCAAAATCTGTCACACTGTACCTACTCCAGCTTAGCTTGTTTAGGGTGCCTAAATATGACCCTTTGTTACCATCTCAGAAAGCTGGGGTTACACCTCGTGTAGGACAGACAATTGCAAAGGGAAAAAGGTGACTGTGAAGAAAGTTAGGAGGCACTGCTTCCCTGGGCTATGGGCAAATGAGGCTCAAGACATAGAGGGGGCTAACCAAAGATGGGGAACTTTTTTTCTGTAATTAAAAATTCATTTCCTTTTTTCATGCATTTTTACTGCTTGGTGTTGAGTGACACTTCTGCCTTCCTCACTTGAGTCTGCTGCTGGCTGCCTGAATAGAAATCCCATTCTCATATTTGCATTATCCCTTCCTCCACTTCCCCCACCAGTAGCTGTGTTGTTCCTCCCTTCTCTATTGATTTCCCCCCTCAGGCACAAATCTGCGAGTGTGGGTGGATGAGAGCATGCACCTGGAGAATGCCTTGTCAGAGCTGGGAGAGAGCTGTATGCAGCTCCAAGACAGAGCACAGAGGGTTTTTCTCCCCCTCTGACTGTGAGCCCCCTCTGAGATCAGGCTGGGTGTGAGTGAGCCCAGCTGCCTGTCTGTGGGAGTGCTGTTCTACACAGTGGTGTGCCAGCATCTGTGCACACATCTTGGGGGTTACTGTGTGCCTCTACAAGTACACGTGTTCATGTGTGTGTATATCCCCTGTGTATGCAGATTTCTCCTGCATCATACATTTTCCTAGGAGACCATCATGTCCACACGTTTTGCCCTTCTCCTTACGTATCCTGTAAGCATACAAGCTTCTATGAAACCTGGCAGCAGCTTTGAGTCTATGGGGGTGCCTGTCCCACAGTACACACTGGAATGAGTGCATGTGTGTGCATCGTGTAGCAGAGTTTCTTCCTGTATCTCAGACTGTGCCACTGAAGGGCCTCAGTCATGATGCACTTTTGCTGAGGGGAACTCATGTAATGTGGAGGATTTCCACGTTCCTTTCATTCTCTGAGCTGGTGAACAGGGAGAGGTAGCATCCTCATGAAGGATAGGAAAGGAAAACATACTTCCACCATTAACCCAAATTCAGGGATCTTTGTCATGGATAAAGGGCCAAGTTTGCTCAGGCTGTTTTCTGGGGTGAAGAAAGGATAGGATGAGATCTCTGAGCATGTGAATGCATGCTATGACAGGCACAGAGTGTGACACTATCAGGTGGTGAAGGATGTGGGTGAGCAACATATGTCTAGCTATAAGGGGATCAGCATTCAGGAGAATGGCCTGCACCATACAGAGGCCTCATGGTTATATTAACAGAAGTTGGGTTGAAGATATTTCTGCTTACTCTGTCATGTCACATAGAAAACATCCTGGGCAGAGTAGCATTGTCAAGAAGAGTGTCTGGGAGAACAAGTCAGCCCATTAAATTTACAAATAGGAGAGATGCAAGATCTAACATTGAAAACCTAGGATTTGCTAAAGGAAAAACAGAATACCTTCTATATCATCATATAGATCTCCAGCTTCACTGTTGAAGAGCACAGGCAAAGTTCTCAGCTAAATGCAATGGTTACATGGCCATGGGTGAAGTCAAGGTAAGTAGCAGAGATTCAAAAAAACATACCTCCATGTGCATATTTTAGTCCTAGAGCCAATGTAATGTTCAAGGCAGGACCTCAGTCACTGATGTGACTCCAAAGACATTGGGCTGACTGTGGATTAGTTCCAGAGGAGATGGGAGCTGGATGTGGCCAGGAAACAGTTCTAATACAGACTGGCATAGACATGCAGATTTCAGAAGGAATGGAACACACAAAGCAAGAGGATGTAGAATAAAATAGTCCAGCCCTGACAGCTCTCCTTCACTGCATAGACTAAAGCTCAAATATAAATGTGACCATTAACCAACAGCAGCCTTACATCAGCTTTTCGCTGGATTCGAGTTGTTCCCCATAAAATCCTGGTAATGAGCAGCATCTCTGCCACTGAACACCTGTATGTGTATCCCACATACTGCAGCATATGACTTTTACCAGATGTGCAGCAAGCAGCTCCATTTCTTTCTCTCCCCAGCTCAGTCCTTGCTATTTTCCTCAATATTTCAGGGGTGTTAAGCACGGCCAGCAAATGCTGTGGGATTCCTCACGTCCTGCTGGCTTTCCCTCTGCCCACACAGCCAGCTGCCCACACACACTCAGTTATTACAGAAGTGCCGCATAATGAAGCACTCTCCGTTCCAGGGATTCCACCCCCTCACTGTGGAGGCGCGGAAGGAGAAAGTGCCACAACAGCGCAGGATCGGTCTGTTCCCAGGGGCCTGCTCCAAGCCAGAGCACTGCTTACAGAAAAGCAGTGTAAGGCCAGACAGACTATAGCAGATGGTGCTAGCAATTGGAGGCTGTCAGCTCTTGGTCCAGCAGAGCAGCCAGCAAAAGTATGTGCATGCACATACTCATAGCCTCAGCTCCACGCACTATGGGTTGGTGACCGTATCACACACTCTGTGATGGCAAACCATCTCCTTGGCAGGGACCAACAATCAAATAATTGCACTAAGCTGAATGCCTATAAATCCCCTTGCCACCCCTTGGGTTGTGGTACATTACAATGTTACAAGAGAAGCTATAGGTCCCTTAGTTCCTGCTCACAGAATTAAAAAAAAAAAGCTTTGCTTGCCAGAGCTAAGTCTGTTCCCTTTCTCCCTACCCTCCAATGTTTTGTCTAGAAAATTGAGCCTCACAGATTACTGGCACATTGTTTCAGCAACTAGTTTCAAGGCAGCAGGGAAGCTGTGTTACAGGAAGTTGTGTTTCAAAGCACCATGATTTCAAAGCACTCAGTTTTCGATCCCACAGAGACCTGCAAGATGCAGGAAACTCAGGTCACTACATGAAGAATGGCAATGCTGCCCCAGAAGACCTAGTGTTGTTAATCTGATGTATGAATGTGTGCCAGGCAGACTGGGGGAGGCAGACAGGCTGGGAAAAAACACTTTCACTCCTGCTTTATGATCGCATCAGTACTTGTGTCAACTCTGCATGAACCAAAGGAAAACACATTGGGTATAGGAACTCCTGCCAAACATGACTGAAAATACTGAAACACTTGGTTTGCAGAGATGTGAACCCCGTGTCCTCCTCCAGAAAAACACCAATCCCAACACAAGTACCACAGCATCTCTGTGGAGCTGGAACTATGTCATAATCAGCTCCCATCTGTTCCTGGTGCCTACCTTCTCTTATTCCAGCCTGCTCGCATCCATTGGGCAAATGTGTGCTGCCAGAGCCTGACTTTGATACATACATGTGAACCCACCTGTTCACAATTTACTCAACAGAATTAGTAAAATGCCCTCCTCAATATCCTCCTTGGTTCTCTATGAGTCCCAAGTCTGTCTGCTCTTATAGAATTTCAATTCTGGATGTGCTCTGGAGCCAGCACTAACAATCTTTCAACCACATTCCTGCCTTCTGGGGTCTACAGTCTCTGTACTACACATATTTAATCCATGTCTGTGCAAAACTTCTGCCCGTAACTACATAAACTTCAGTCCTTGCTAAGACCAAAAAGCCCACACTAATGCATGGCAAAACATTCTGCTTGTATGAGTGCATTATGTTCCCAGCACCTTCATCTGGGGATTCAAATGGAAACCAAGACAGCATGAGATAAAATCCCACTATTTCTCATGGGTTGTTTTGATGAGAAATGTCTCATCGAAAGACAACAAGCAAATCTAAAGCTTCTTACAAGAGCTCAGCTGCTTTCTGCCAATCTAAAATAGACTGCATATGACCCTTTGAGCTCACCCCTTCTGACTGTACTTTCTGAGCCACTCTGCTTTACTTTCACATCTAAAGCCTTTTCATAGGATCTCAGATTCAGATGTATGAGAAACTAAGATGACTAAACCTGTTCTATTAAGATGAAAACAATCTACCCAAAGAAACAGAAGGAAAACAAAAGCCAGAGCACTCATACCGGGTTAGCTAGGCTCAGCTCTACTTTTCTCTCTCCTTCTCCTTGGAAATGCTCCAAGTGAAGTATTTGAGACTGTTTTTACGTCCTCAGATATGCTTCTGCCTTTTCAACAGAATGTGGCACGATCTCAAATGGACTGAAATTGGAATTTAAGGTTTAGAATTCAGGACGGCATTGTTCCTCTACTGGGCAGATCAGGACAGCACTTGGGAAAATTTAGGGAAAAAGCCATTGGGCAGACAACCCATGGTCTAAATCTGATACTGAGAGGGTCACACCCTTGAATATGAAGAACTTTCCTAGAGACAGATCTAGACCAAGAGTTTGTCTTCACCTATTCTTGCGAGGCATTAAGCAGTCTAGGAAACACAAAAGATGAAGTCACTTACATATTAAAGAGATTCAGCCCAATGCGGTAGAGGCGTTTCCTCATGGTGTCTGTGGAAAGCGTGGGGGACTTGCAGCTAGCTGGGTTCTCACAATGGTACCGTGGGAGGCTGAGGATCATGGCTTGCAGTGCTTCTTTGGAGGACACCTCAGAGGCTGACTTTGCTGAAGTGGAGGTGCTGCTGCTGCTCAGCTGCTCTGAGTTGTCTGCATTCTCAGATTCAGAGCCTTTGCTTTGCCCCGTCTCATTGTTAGCATCAAACTGGAGCTTCTGCACTGCCATCTGCACAGGCTCCTCATTGCTGTCCCCCATGCCATTAGTGCTAATGTTCACTTCAGTGAAAGTGTGGCTGTTCTGGAGAGCTTCTGTCTCAGGTAAGCACTCTGGGGCAGCCTGCGGTTCACTGTCTTCTCCCTCCCCTTCTCCCGGGCTTTCCTCAGACTTGGAGGCTTGAGAGAGCCCAGCCTGGGCATTGCTGCTCAGGCAGTTTGCCATGGACACCGAGGTAGACGATGAGACAGAGATATTCTTGTTGTCAATCTGGACTGTAACATCTCGAAAAGCCATCATAAGAGTGCTGCTGCTCTTAGGTAGGGTATCTGGCAGAAGCCCTTCCTCCTTCTCCTTGTCCTGCAGCTCAGCTTCTAAGTCTTGGTTTGGTTGCATTGAACTGGCACTGAAGGTCTCTCTTATCTGGTATGAGCCCCCGTCCTGCAGTGAGCACATAGTCTTCAAGCTCCAGGTGCTCAGAGCATCATCAATAGACTTGGCCAGGGACTGAACTTGTTCCGTGAAGGAGTCCTCCAGCTCAGTCAGTGCTCCACTGATTGTGGCTGGCAAAGATGGGGACCTCACCAACGGGATGCCCACAAAGTTGTACCCCTCTACTAGGGCTTTCTCAGCAGAGAAGCTCTCGGAGTTCTGGACCCGGACTTTCCTCAGAGAGATGCGGCGTGGCATGCGGCTCTCCAGCAGTGAGTTGCGGATCTTCTCAAAGTTCTTGCTGAGCTGATATTGTCGGAAAGCAGTTTGGATGGTGCAGGCTGCCCTGCGAGATACCAGGTGACCTCCGTATTTGTGCTCTAGCATTTCAATCTGAAAGACATACAAATAAGAGGTTATTTTTGCTTAATTGACTTCTGATGGCTTTACGTGACTCCAATTGCTATACTGATTAGACTATAATGACTGTCAAAAGTACTTTTAACATGGAATGAATCTTCTCCTGCATTGCTGTGCCCTCAGTATCAACAGAAGGCCTTCCTTTAGGCATGACTGGTCGAAACATCAGCATTGTGAGCTTCCTTACATCTGTATCATGCCTCCACCTACAGTGGAACCATACAAGCTGGAACCTGGAGGCAGCCCTCCTTTGCGTTTCCATTTCTGACAGCATGATTAAACAGACAATTCCAGAAAAGTGTCTTCTTGCTCTGCAATCCTTTGATAGCATTACAGAATGGCTAATGTTAGAAGGTACCTTAAAGATCATCTAGTTCTAACCTCCTGCCATAGGCAGGGTCGCCACCCAGAGGATCAGGCTGCCCAGGGCCCCATCCAACCTGGCCCTGAGTGCCTCAAGGGATGGGGCACCACAGCTTGGTCTCCCTCCTTTTTATAAGCTCCCTTTCAGTACTGGAAGCCTGCAATGAGGTCTCCCCAGAGTCTTCTCTTCTCCAGGGTGAACAAGTCCAGCTCCCTTAGCCTTTCATGGTAGGAGAGGTGCTCCAGTCCTCTGATCATCTCTGTGGTCTTCCTCTGGACCTGTTCCAACAGTACCACATCTTTCTTGCACTGGGAGCCCCAGGCCTGGACGCAGTACAAAGAACATTGATTTAGCAATGTTGAGGATTTTCCCTTTGTTCAGGGTGCTTCCAAACTCTTCCCATCCTTATTCACCTTAGGAAATATGGCAGAAGCAAGAAGAAACCATTCAGAATAAAGAAAGAAAAGTTGACTTCTAAATGCAGAAAATGCTGTTTTGGTCATAGGAACTAGCAGGATGTATCCATTTCCACAGAAGTCAGTAGAAGATGTTTGTTCTATGTCTTTTAGCAAGCTCTCTGAATCTCAAAGTGTCTCCTTTCTGGTCTCTCAGTTTTTCAGGCATTAATCAGAAGTAAAATGAAAATAGCTCAAGAAGAGAAGAGTAAGGTTTGAAAAGCAAGAAATTCTGATGTTAGACATTGAGACATGACATTAAGAAGAAGTGGCAGCAGGATTTTCTCCTTCCTGAACTGGTAATAACACACACACATGTAATACATACACACGCAGCTAAGTGGAATCCCAACAGGCTTCAAAAAAACAAGTATGTATGGTCTTCTCCATAGTCTTGTATCTGTACTTCCTAGTATTGCCCTCTCTCTTGTTCTGCTGCTTCACTAACACGCTGCAGGAAAATGTTTGCTTTCTTGGTTCCAGGGAGTAACTGAGAGCTGACAAGTGGGACAGTGTGAAGATGATGGTGAATGATGGAACTGGAGAAAAAAGGATGAACTCAAATTACTTTCACTGAGGTCTTATCTGAATGATTAACTGAACTCTACATTGTCTACACTTCATAGTGCAGAACACAGGTGTAGACTGTAGTATATACATACATGTGCACATGTGGAAAAGCCCACCAAAGGTAAAGTGCTGGGCTGGGAGCTCTGGTAAATTCAGACTTGAATTAACAGAGGATTGGCTACATAATTCATGTGGTATCCTTACACCCAGATACACACTGCTGCCCCTCAAGGTATGCCTCGCTGGCTCATTATTCACAAGGTGAAGGACTGAGCTGCCAGAAAACCTAAGGTTAAGTACAAAGACAGAGTGAGACATGAGCCCTAGCTCCCAGAGACATGTCATGTAAACTGATTCCTTCTTTTCCATTTTTTTAAAACACTATGTAAGTTGTGGATAAAACCATCAGTGAGTGAACTGGATACAAGTGAAGGTCTGGAATGATAGCTGTGAGAAGTGCAAATCACTCTAGGCATCTTTCCAATATTAACTCCCCTGGTTGCAGGGCATGATTATAAGATTTTGGGAGATGACAGGAAGAGACAAATAGTGTAAGTCCAATCATTCTGCTCCTGCACTGGTATCCTGGCTGCTGGAGTATGAATTGAAGGCCTTGCCCTCCCATTGCCACCCCATCACTCCAGGCAGCAATAAGTCTAGGTACCCTGCTGCAATAGATGAAAGGCTGCCATTTCTTGGAGAGAGCAGAGAGATAATGTCCTTTCATGTTCTCCTCCATGAAAATGAAGAAGGGCTCCTCTGCCTTGAGCTTGTTTTTTGTTTGTCTTGCTACTGAATTCACATCTACCCAAAGCAAGTATCAAAGCTCAGCACTAGCAAATTCTAACAATTTACTTAGCAATAGGGTCAGTAGGGACAGCTGGCTGAGAGCTCTGCTTATCCCTAATTTAAAAAATGTTGGCCTATTATTTGCCTGCCTGCCCTTCCTGAACAGATCTATAGAACTGGTGCTAAAAATCAACTACACAAGGATCATGGATTCAGGTTCGTTTACTACAAGATGTATCAGTAATTTTTTGGATAGGAGTTCATTTAATGTGACAAGAAAGAGGAATACAGGGACAAGAAGATATTCTTGGTAGTCAGTAGAAGGATTTGCTATGTTCTCTGACTTTATTTCCTAAGTGACCATCTTAAATCCCACCATCAACTCAGCACTCCTGCCACATCTCTTCAAAGCTTGGTTCTTTGTCTCCAGGAGGAAGCCTCATGTAGATAAATGCAAATCAAACCCATAACCTGCACACACCCAATCCAGACAGTTACTGCTGAGAGCTGACCATGAGCACTTCATATAACCATCTGGTTAATCAAAATGTATAGCTAATTGTGTTGAGAGGGAAAGGGGAACAAATGGGAGAGACAGACACAGCTATCTGAGGAACAGAATAATAGTAAGATACAAAATAAAGCAGAAGCAAGAGCCTTTAATTACCTGAGGTTTCCAGGGAGGTGACAGCCATTCTGAAAATGTGAAATTCATATGCTCTGATCTTATTAGAGGCTAGGACAAGATGTCACAGCTGATCTGAAGTAAAAGGCCATTTTCTGTCATGCAAGGACAGTTCCCAAAAAGGCAGACTTTAATAACTATTAAGGAGAGAGATCCTTCTAAAAATCCGAAGGAATGATGCAAACTGTCAGTACCTTGACAAAACAATCATAAGATTTTTGCAGTCCATTATCTCAGCCCTCTCAAAGGACTAAGGCATGACAGAGCAGAACAACATGTTCAGTGAGAGGAGTCCCAACATAGTCTGCTCTCCAGTTGTACTAGGGGCTCAAGGGCAGGTTCAAGTGGTCATACAGTCCTTATCAGCAAGGGGCATCTATCTTACAGTGTTCTGCAGATGGCATAACAAGGGCCCAGAGACGTGAGATGACTAAGCATGTCTAAAAGATATTTGAGATGGCAGGCAAAGCCAGAACCAGCATAAAGCACTGCCCTGCCCTCCCCACTGGAGTGGGTCTTAGTCTCTCTCCCTTTGATGCAGCCCAACCATTTATGGTTTACTGATGTCTGAGACATTCAAATTTGCTACCAGGGCAAGCAAACTGACATTCCAGAGGAATTAAGGATTTCACACAGCTCTTGGTCTGTTTTCTTCCTCTCAAAAAGGAAGAAAGGGCATCCATTAGCACACCCCAGCAGTCACAGGTAATGGAGATGTATGTCTGGCTTGCTGAAGGAACCTTCCCTGCCCATTTGAGAGGCCAGCCATGATTGGCCACCTCTCACTCCTAATAAACCCTATGAATCACAAGTAATTGCCTACTTAAAGATATTCTTCTCTGGGGAATTATCTGACAGCCAGAGCCAAAGAAGGGAAAAGCAAGAGAAGGGTAAGGGGGATTTCAAAGTATAATTAGCTTAATACATTTCTGGGCCTCGATATGAAAACTCAGTTTGAGCAATTTAGGCCTTGTGGCTGAATTACAAATGGTTGGGAAATATCCATGGCCATGAGAGATTGCACATGAAGGGAGCTTTAATAAGGTCAGCCTAAGGCAAGCTGAAGTGTCAGGACTGGATATGGCAGAAGAGTTGAGGTATATACCCCATGCTCTTGTTTTCCAGAGATGTAAAAGCAGAAGTCTGCCAGGATACTCTCAGTTGTCACTAGTTTTCCAACCAGGTAGCCACTGAGAATGGCTACATGCCACCATGTTAGCAAGAAGAGAATCAGTCTTAGAGACAGAATCTGAGTAGCTCGAGTAAAAGTATGCATTGTGAATAACAACAGTAATACAGAACACATACGTTCTCTATCATCCCTTCTTAACACCTCTTCCTCCCACCAAACTCTCACAATGAAATGACATTGCTACAAAGGCCATGTGTTAATGGGATGTTTTCCTTCTTACATGAGACATCTGTCAGAACTTCTGCACAGAAAGCTCTCTGTGATCTCCATTTTCCCTACTGTCCTGCAGAGCATAAACTTAGGGGAACTTACCAACCCTCTAGCTTAATGCTGAGGGGCAAGGACTGGTAGATGACCTGTACTTCCAAGCCATACAGAGGAAGCTTTATGCTGCCCTCCTTCTTCAGCAGCGCTCAGTCCCCTCTCCAAAGCAAAATGTGAGTTCAACTGCACTGTGAGTCTAAAAATGCATTCTTCCACTTGTTTGTAATACATATTAGTAGAACTTACACTAAGAAAATTTGTGCTATCACTAGGGAACTACTGGAAAAGTGCTGTGACAGGTAATGTACTCTTTATTCCCATTCAAGAGAATAACTGAACAAGTAGGTTGATGGGAAACCTATGAAGCTATTTACTACACAGTGTAATACAGAGTGTAAGACTGTAGATTCCTCTCCATGGAAATCTCTCCTTCCAGAGCAAGAAGTAGTTCACTGAAGACATCCATCAGGCCTGGAGAAGCACACATATTTTAATCCCCCTCTGCTGTGAGAAAAATGGTTCTACCTATGAGACAGGCAAGGTTCCTGCAAGGTCAGTACTGCAAGGCACCAGAATTTAATGAACAAGCAGCTAACATGTTTCTCTGTCTCACATGCACCCAGGGCAGGTCTGGCCTCTGCTGCAACAACAGTGGTGGGACAAAATGACCTTAAAGCTAAAATAACACAGGACAGACACTCCCCAGAACAAAAGCAGAGCAACTCTAGGACATACAGGAGGTTAAGCCCATATATAGCAGCCAAGATCTGGCCCACCCTGAGGATATGTCACATCATTTTGTAAAGCCAGTTAATTAGTCTCTTGTTTCTTTTCCTGGTGTGAAGCAAGAATTCTGGACATGCAGTATTTAAGAAAGAAAAAGAAAAAGAAAAAGGCTTCTTTTCTGCTCATGAATTTAGTGGGCCATTGATCTGAAATGCCTGTATGGGACAGCAGCAATGCCTTGAGGGAAGTGGCAGAGAGATGTACCAGAAACAGCTATTTCTTCAGTGGGAACCTCATTAGCTGAGACCCTTCATCTGCAATAACATAGCTCCCACTGAATTCTCCCATTGAATGCAATATGGACAGTATCAGTAGCCCCTGTTTGTCCTGTCCATCTCACATCCTGCAGGGTCTGTATATTAGACAGCCTCCGGTTGAGCTGCCAATCCAGGGAAAAGTCAGAAAAGATTCTTTAGGTTTTTGCTTTGCACAACAGCTCTCCTAGGCTGTAAACTGCAGAGACACGGGGTGGTGAGGGCACATTCCATCTCACTGCCTTTGAGTGAAGAGGCCAGCTGCTATTAGCCCCTGTCCCACTACCGCTGTTTGAGAGCCCCATTGGGAAACGCAAATAAAGATGGGTAGACTGTGTTATGGAGCAAGTCTGTAGTCTCAGGCACAGGAGGAAAGGCTTGAAACTTCCAGAACTGAATCACTGTCTCAGTCTAGTAAACCTGCCTGCCTCTTCAGCATGCTGAAGGCAACGATGGCGACAATATGCTAACACAGTGGTAGACACTGTGCAGGACACCTCCTGAATAAACCTCACCGACCCTGTGAGCTCATTCTGTGAAGAGACTAACATGAAAGTGCACATGGGGCCTGTCCAGGTTGATCCAAGAAGGCAGGATGGCTCTTGGAGACCTCTCCCATGAGGGAGGCTTTTTGTGACAATCATTTGCAGGGAAGCCTACAGGGACTCTGTGCTTTTGTGCAGGCAGTGTCTCTGGATGCCTCACTCCTCGGCTGCCTAAAATCCCTCTCTAAACCTACAGTAGCACCTGAGTGCCATTTTGGAACACAGAACACAGGCAGTGAAGAGTAGAGCAGGCTTGGGTGAAAGACCATTGCAGTCAGAGGTGGGGAAGTTACTTCCTCCATCAGCCCCACGCAGCCAAAGTGCCAGGCTGGGTGAAAGCTCTAAGCAAACAGAAGGCTGAAGTATTTGCAGAAACACGGGCACACCACAGTGTGAACGCAGCCCCTCCCACCCCATCCCCTTCTCCCACAGCCTGAGGAGGAAGCCTCTGTACCTGTTTATTCTTTAGGTCAAGGGAGAGCTCATAATCGGAGGCAGCTGCATGGGAACACGAGGCCGTCCCTTTGCTGCGCTGCACTCTCACTGGGGAGCCCGTGTGGTGGAGGCTCGCCTTCTGCACCAGAGGGGAACACCCCGCTGCCTGCTCTTCTTGGAGCTCCTCATGCTGGGCTTTTAGCGTCTGGGTGTCGGACCTGCCTTCCTGGCCACTCTGTCTGCCGGCCTCCTTCGGATCCTCCGTTTCACACCCGGCTTTCTTGCTTGTGGAACCGCTGGGATCATCACTGTGAACAAAACGCAACGTTTCTCTTTTTTATTTGTTTTTATTATTATTATTGTTATTATTTGTATCGTTTATGATTACGCTTACTATTGTTCGCTATGCTCTTTCACTGACCTGCATTTTAAATGTTGAGGGAGCACGGGCTGTAAAGGCTGTCACTGGGGATGGAGCATCCCACAGTCTCACCTGCTTCAGAGCCTGGTTCCCAAGGATCCAAACTTTCCCCTGGTTTTTATATGAGCATGTGGGAAATGATGTAAGGACAGATGAATGCTGCAGATTTTCCAAAGAAACAGCGTAAGAGTATGGAGTGCTGAGACTATAAAGATACAGCAGAGCCAGCCAGACAGACCTGAGGTTCCTGACTCTTCAAAGCAACTCTGCAACACACCCAAACAGGCTACAGGACTTCCATAAAATAAGTCATTTCTTTCTGACCCATAGGACAGTGCTGTACCACTGAGGGCTTGAATAGAAAGCAAAACACTCTTCTCCTGTCAGCCACAGCAGTGATTGTATGAAACCGGGGCTCGACAACTGTGAACTCTAAGGGAGTTGATGTGTTGCATTGAACAGGGTGGGATTCACGTACATCTAATCCATTGAAGTGCTGAGGAAGTCTGCTGCTAACCTCCCTTGCCAAATGTTTTCTGAAATCATCCAATTTCAAACAAGACTTTGAGGGACTGCTTGAACTATGGGAGTGTTTGCTGCCACATCCTTCCAGATGAATAACTTAGGATTTCCCAGAGAGTCCACTGAGTCCAGTCTGCATGGACTCACCTCTGCTGCATAGTTTACACCGGATTCAGCTCCACTCCTTTCCAAGGGATGAGTATTTAGCTGATGGCAGCATCGAGTTTGGAAATAACTGCCACAGAACCAGTGCATTTAATTCAATTGAAGTCAAAGCTGTGTACCGTCTCCCGCATTTAAACACCACTACATTCTTTAATTCACTTCTAAACAGTATTTCTTTTTCTTGGATTTGCTCCATGTATGATCAGTTCTGCTGTTATCTAGTCATCCAATTATTTTACGACTGGTTTTGATGTCAGAACAAAATCAGGGAAATAGTTGCAAATACGATTTTCTGTAGTGCCCAAACTACTTCCAAGCATTTTAGACTCATTTTCAAAAGTGCTGAGAACTCTTAAGAGCTCAGGTATTCTAAGTAGACCTGGGTTCTCCATCTGCTGAGCACAGGATGACTTTTAAATACTTTCTAGTACTTTGAAATGAAATTTGTTATCTCCAATAGCATTTTAACAATTAAATTTAGACATATTTCTATAGTTTCTGAATGGACTCTAAATGATGAGTCAAGCACAATGCCACAACTTCAGAACTAAGAAAGTAGAGTTTAAAGGTAGAAAGCTTCTACTTTCATTCACATGTATGTAGTCAGCAGATTTTAAAAATAAATTTAAAGAAATCAATGTCTTGCATTAATTCTGTGTAACCAACCAACTTTATTAAAAAAACATTAAAATGACATAGTCTGCATTCATCAATCAGGAAATACCTTCATTTAAATGAGGCATAGAACTACATGTAAACTAAATCCCAGTTTTTAACTCTTTCTGTTTTATGTCTCTCCACATTCCAGGAAAGATTAACAGACTTTTCCTTTATGGCTTTCACTGTGTCACTTTCTTTGGAAGCCTCTGTTCTCCCCTTTCTCATTTTAACCAGTGGCATAGATATGTTTTTATCCTCAGCTAAAGGGATGACCAGGTAATCACAGATTTGATCATGTTTTCTTTGCAGTGCATGACAAAAAATTCACTGCTATTTCAGTGGGAACTGGACTGTGTCCTACAAAGCAATTTCGGCTAGAGTCACAAGCTCTGATTCAGTGAGCCATATATCCCAAATTGCTTTGCTGAGTCAAGGCCACAATGCAGAATGCGCTGCCCTTAGGGCAAGTCAAAGCCTGAGGCAGTGAGCTAAACAGCTAGCAGAATTATCTGGGAGCATGAATGGACTATAAATGCCAGCAAACACTCAGTGACATGATGATTCTCTAGACACTCACATATTTAGATATTAGGAGGCAGTTTTTCACACAGAGGGTGGTGATGCGCTGGAACAGGTTGCCCAAGGAGGTTATGGATGCCCCATCCCTGGAGGCATTCAAGGCCAGGCTGGATGTGGCTCTGGGCAGCCTGGTCTGGTGGTTGGCGACCCTGCACATAGTGGGGGGTTGAAACTGGATGATCATTGTGGTCCTTCTCAACCCAGGCCGTTCGCTGATTCTATGATTTGCTTAACCATATTTTTTGAGTGCCTCCACTGACTACCATAAAATGGCTTATGGTAAAATGTGAAGTGTGTGCATAAGATTTTGCAGCATTCAGGCCCATTGCTGTGTGAAATTGTATGTCACCTCTAGTGTAATTGCTTTGTGAGGCTTTTTCTCACCTTTAGTGCATGCTACCCACTTGGTTTTCTGTTGCACACAGTTTAGAGTGTGAGTAACATGTATAGAAATTGGATATCCTGTGTGCATAGCTAACACAGAAGGAAAAAAAGAAACAATAGGCTTTATAGAGTCAGAATAATCTGGGCTGGAAGAGAAGTTGGGAAGTCTCTGATCCACTCTCAAAGCAGGGCCATTTTCAAAGACAGGTGTGATCAGAAAACCTCTTTACCCTCGTTAGACTTCCCAGGTATTCTTCATGACAGTGAAGGGCCCTAAGATTGCAACCACTAAGTGCACACATTCAGTTACAAGCCCGTGAGAAGCACTACCAACCTCAGTGTTCCCACTTACAGTACATAACTGAAGCCCCTAAAGACACTTTGCTAGGATGAAAGTATAAACTAACCACACGTACACATATAACCTTGTCTTCCTCTTCCGTGCATGCTCTAGTGAATACACTCATACAGAATGTATTACACTTATGCGTGGAATTTTCTGAGGGTCAAAACTCGGTCAAACCAAAATCAGATTCCACTGAAGCACTCAAAGGCATTTTTCAGCTAGATATTTTTGAGCTAAATATAAACTTTTTAACCCCCTGCTGGTTTGTCTGTTGCACTGTTCAGAAAGCAACAGCAAACACTCGTGCTGAATTGGGAATAGTGTCTGCATATTTTTTTGTGGGGGAAAAAAAAATGGCTCAACTGTTTTTACTTAGTGGGAAAAAGATATAAAATACCAAAATACCAGACAATTCTACATTACCTTCAGACAAGAGACTATTTCATCCTGATCTGAGAAAAATCAGTGACGTATAAGCAATAGTTTGTTTAGTCACCAGAATGCCAGCACTGTAGCCTTATGGATCCTCTTACTGCCCTTTATTCTTCCTGAGTTTACACCCACCTTTAGTCTGTTTCTGCAGAAATGCCCTGGGAAGCCTATTCACTGTTGTCCCCTAGCAGCAATAGATGAAGTTTCCACACTGCTAAAGATCCAGACTAATGCTGCAGTGAAATACAAACTAAAATGATCTTATATTTTCCCACTGTCCTGCATGACACAGTTGATTTGCATTGGCAGAGCAGTTTTGTTAATAAGTGAAGGCTCATGGGCTATTATCATAGTAACAAGAAGAAAAAGAAGAAACAAAACAAAACCAAAAGAAAAGAGAAAAATAAAGTAGAGGAGGACACTACAGTATGGTAGGTCTCTGGAAAAAAGTGCTATTCGTAAATTACCAGGATCCCTTGCCCAGTGGGAAATCAAACACTCTGGCTGTGATGAAGGGGAGGAACAGAGCTTTTGCACATTGTTTCTTAGATTAGTAAACTTTTCTAACCACTTGTAAAAATTAAAAGTTCCCCACAGAGTCTAAGATGTGAATCCGAATGCCCTGGCCAACTCCAACTATGTTAATGTAGTTCTGTATCCACCATCACTCCTGCAGGTTCAACTGTAATTGGTATTCTTTATTCTTGGTGTTTTAAAGTATCACATACTGTTGTCTTTCACATTTTTTGCAATTACTCTTTTATGATAGATGAAGCAATTTTCTGCTCACAATGCAGTCAGGTAGGCAAGGTTTGTAATGCCTTTGGATTGTTTGATCTGAAGTGCTTATATTACTGTAAATCACTTGCAATCACATAAAAGTGGAAGACTAAAAAAACAGCTGTTCTGTTCTTTCTAGATGTTCCTGTACGACTTTTCTGACCCATAACAACTATCTTAGTTATTATTGCAAATAGATTTCACTGACAAGAAATCTTCCCTCCTTTTGCACTGCAGACTTGTCTAGTGCTGCTGCAATTAGAAACCAGTTTGTTGACAAAGATGGCGACTACAGACAATCCAATTCAGGTCTTAAATGAAATGCAGTAGCTAGTCTAGCATAAGGCGTATACCAAGACAAGGGTATCGGGGTTCTGGGCTGATTCTTAGTGTTTGTTTCAAGAAAGCAGGATGGTGAAAAAGCTCTGAGACAGTTCAACTGTCTTCAACGGACAGCTCAATATTTTTATCAATGTCTAGAGCATGTAAATGAGATTTCTGGGATTTAACTTCTACATACAAACTTCTAAGGAAGGTTTTCCACAAGAAATACACTGTGGAAAGAATGTAGAAAGATATTAGATGTAAAATCAGTGATACCAGCCCGAATCGATGATAACAGACTATTAAGCCAGAGGGGTCCACCAGCCCATTTCTAGTTGTATCAGCTCCCCATGTCTGTATAGAGCTTTGTATTGTTCTCTGCCCTGGGAGAGATCTGTCTGCTTTTCAGTTCTCAGAGATTGGGAAAGCACAAAGATACACTTCCTTGTATTCTCCTCACCA